TTATATTTAAGGTGAAATTTATATAATACAATATAATATCTAAATATAATATAATATAATATCTATCAAAATAATACAATAATAGTAAAATAATAAAATAAATAATAAATTTAATAATTAAATAATATAATATTTTCCTGTGTTGCATTGCAACGCATAAATACGTTAAAATACTAATACATTAAAATTCTAGGCTATTTATTTTTCATTACACAACGAAACAACTTCAACACTAAAGTATTATGTAGCATGTGTTAAGTAATATGTTATCAGTAAAATCTTCGATAACGAACTTCTATTCAAATCAAGAACAATACTAAAGTGAATATAATTTCTTTTGGCCATACTTGGTTTTGGTAATTAACGCAATTATTTACAGGCGCATGCGTTTAATACTTACAATGAGTAAATACAGGTTCACATAATTCTCACATGCATCGGGATGACTGGTTCGCCTTGCGTCAACCGAGGTTGTAAACTAGCTTAAAGTCTCTCACGGTCTTCAATTCGGAACCCTAGACAATGTGTGCTGGCACGAGCGAAATGTGTACACGATACCGAGCTACACTTATGTTCTCCAACTAATTAGAACAGGAGAAGGTGCTAGACTAGTAGCTGGAACTCTCAAACGTAGAAATTTCAGTAATTTTGTGTTTATTATCGACACATATAATAACAAAAAAAAAAAAAAGATATTTAATCGAACAGAGTAGAAAAATTTTAATTCATGATTTCAGGCATAAAAATATTAATTGGTAGAAAGTTTCAATAAAATCTGCTAGGTAATATTCTCTTTCGATAAGATACTAAATATTGTATTAAAAGATTAATATTGAATTATTTAAATACTATATTTGTATTACTTGAATATTAGATATTAGTATTAATTTTGTAGGAATATTTTAATCACTCTGGACATGCTCATATTCATGGAATGTTCATTTTCTCCGATCTCATTTTTTCCTTATTTGATACAGAAAATTAAATAAGTTACTTAGATCTATGCTCTAGTTAAGTCTTACTAACGATAACTCTAAACGATAACCATAGCCATTATCGTTTAATAAATAACTAGTTACCTATTATTTTAGTCACGCTGCGTTAATCCTGCGGTATTCTTCAGGCACAAACGTACCTTTTTATTCTTAACAAGTTTTCAGAAAACAAATGTGCAAGAATCCTTGTTAATAACGCAAGGTTGTAGAATTTTTCAATTTAATTTTCAATTGATATCGTTGGGATCCATGGTAATTTAAATTATTCAAACTTTGGAATTTCTTATTCAATCACTAGTTTCTGTCGTCGAGGCTATAAATATAAAATAAAATGAAATACCGTAAATTTTAGTAATCTAACATAAATTGTTATAATCATTTCTATTCAACAACACTATATTTGAGGTTTAAAGCATTCAAAATCTGTGACCGCTTGTCAAAACACGAATAAGACTGAGATACAAAATTTCAAACGTTATAATAAGATTAAAGAAAAGATATTTATTACTGGACTGTAAAGATATTTTCATGGAAATTTATATTTTAAAAAATGTAATTTAAAAATAGAGAATTGTTTCATATGTCAAATGTCATACAAAACATTACACGTGGATATTTTGTACTTTCAAGAAATTCAACTGGCTTTCTATGCAACTTTGTGCCTTCGGATCTTCTATAAATACATAAAAATCTGCGACGAAAGGGAAATTGAAGAAATATCTCGCTTTCATTTCAGATAACAATCACGCTGCTCTGCGTCCTGTTGATCGGACATCAAGTCCACGCAGTGGTTAACAAAGCGCAATCGCAAGCACTGGCCAACAACGATGAAGAGAATCCGAACGAAATTAAGGCTGACAAAAGAATAAGCAATTACGGTCCACCTTCCGATGATTACGGACCACCAATTGGATCAAGTATTAAAGGACCAGCGCCGGTTTACGGGCCACCAGAGCTAGTAGGTGATCAAGGACCAACACCTATATACCCGCCGCCACCACCAGACCTTCCCCCACCCATCTATGGTCCACCATTAGCTTCATATGGGCCACCACGGAATATTAAACCGCTTCACAGTCCACCAAAGCAAAGTTTCGGTGGCCCTCCTTTGTCTATTTTGCCATCGAAGCTAAACTTTGGCTCGTTGAAACTTCACTATGGGCCACCAAAGCAACACTATGGACCGCCGCATTCGTTCGGTTCGTTTAGACCGCCGAAACCTCAGTACGGTCCACCATTGAAATTCACATCTAATCAATACATAGCGGTGGGATCGTCGGGCCTTGGACCAACGAAATCGGCGCACGGACCTCCTGTGCCCTTCGATACCTATGGTGTACCTCCGCAAAAACTGGCTGTTCAGTTTAGTTCACAACCGAGTGACAACTACGGACCACCACCACCGCCATCGTTTGGAGTCCTCGTACCCGAGGCAGAATACGGACCACCTGCTGCTGATCTGTACAGACCGCCAGTCCCTCCGCCAGGCGTGCCAGCACCACCGACTCCACCCGATATAAAGTACGATGGTTGGCAACCGATCGCTGGATTGGCCAATCAACAGCCTACGAACATTTACGGGCCTCCGTCCGAGGAGCACAAGGTCATAGACGGTTCATCGTTGGGTCTGCAGCTTCCACAGTCTACGAGCAACGTTATTGAGAATCCAAACGTACCGAGCGATTCCTATGGCGTTCCAATTCATAGCCCCGAGGCACAAGACTTGAAAACCTCGGTGAAGTCCAGTTCTAACGACAATAAAGGATTGCCGCCGCCTCCGTTGCCGGAGTACGAGCCGTTCCACAACGAAAGCCCGCCAAGAAAGGAACCTCCTCTGAAAGATATCCAAGGTGGGGTTAACTTGCAGTACGAAGTGCCAAAGGTAGAGCCTGTTTCTTCAATCGTGAAGACGGTTGGATTCGAGTTATTACCTACGAATCCGTCTCTAACCTCGGACCTTACTGCTGGACTGCCGACGTTGAAATTACCCCTGCTTGATGCCGGAGCCAGTTCGAATTTTGGTAACGGGGTCTCTCACGCGTTGCAAAATCTGGGAAACGATTTGTCGTCCAATAGCTACGGCCCCCCGCCGTTATCAGGCATCTCGTTTGGAAAGTTGAATTCCATCGAGTCGGGTATTCCTTTGCCACCGCCACCTCCCGTGCTCGACTCCTATGGCGCACCTCCTCTATCATCTCACTCACCTAACGGCCCTTATCCCGCCGCCGAGGCAGGTCGAGCATCCTCGTTCTCTTCCTTCGGGTTACACGGCAACTTGCTTTTCAAGCAAAGTCTGCAACACTATCGTCCCCCTGGATCCTTCAGACATCCGCCGTCATCACTCCCAGGCAGCCTAATTCCGCCAAGAAATCGCGAACCGATCAAATTCAAAGAATCCATTCCCAGCGGACTTTTGACTAACCTTAATCGCTACTTGCCACCGCTGAGGCACGCGGAGCTCGCTAAAGCGCCAAAAACTTACCTGCCACCGTTGTCGTTCGAGCAACAGCTACCAATCCATAACGCTGCAGTCGCTTTCAAGGGATTGCCTAGCGTCAGCTTCAACTCACCAATGGCGGCCCCGAACGCTCACTATGGAACGCCATTGTCCTTCGGCGATTTTAACACTCCAGCGCCGGTGTTGACGTACGGAGCGCCTAACTTTGGACCCGCTTCTTCCTTCGTCTCCAGCTCCACCGGCTTCGGCAACAATTTATACGACGTCGTCGGCAACGTTATAACCACCACGTATGGCACCCCGGTTGTGAATTTACCGTTGTCGACAGGTGGTGGACACGATTGCGGTCTCAGTCAACAAACAGGCGCCACGCGTTATAGCTTCGAAGATCTCGCTGGTCACTCGTTGAACGTCGGATCTCACGGCCCGAGTTTCGGCGCAGCACTCCCCGAAGCTACTCCGAATCAGAATCCGCTTTTCAATGTGGAACACTCGTTGTCGAACACTTTGAGCGGATTGGACAACGTGCAGTCAGTTGGCCAGCTGAGCTTGCAGAACTTCGAGCAGCCTAAAACGAATCTAAAAGACAGCTACGGCAGTTCGATTGGCGTGAGTTACGCCGCCCATGAGAATACAGACAGCGTGGTGTCCAGTGATCACAGTCAGTCGAACGTGCTTTCTGCACCACCTGCCGAGCAATTGCAAGACTCGTTCTCCTCGAACGTTCGTTTCCAGCAACAGAATAATGGAATTAGAGCTGAAGCTTTAACTGCCTCGGGCTTCGGCTTGAGTCAAGCGAAGAGCCTAGCCGCCAACGAAGTGGATGCTAGTCAGTTTCTGAATACTCACGCAGGCAGCGAAGCTCTGTCGCTGGTGAAGGGGCTGACAGCGAACGCAGACGGTTTCGAAGTTCAGGGTTCCAAGGGGACGTACACGTTGCAAATCCAAGCTGCCGATGGAGGATTAGGGACGGAGAATTCGGATGGTAGTATCAGGCACGATCAGGTGCTGTCTAATGGGCTCTTGCAAGACATTCTCGCGGCTATCGAACAAGGGTCTGAACAAGGGCAGGTACAAGTTCAAGGTCATCCGGAGGAACAACAGTTGCAACACGTGTATAGTAATTTGCCGCAGACTGGGAATACGGAAGTCCCCAAAGGACATTATATCACCGTGGAACAGAATGATCAGAGGAAAGATTCCAATGGGTTGCTCGGGCAACCTGGTGACAATACCGAGGCTGAATCGAGCAGAGGGATATCCACGAAGAATGAAGGCGTTGCTCTCTTCTTCAACAGTCAATACGGTGACTCGAGGAAAGAGATAAGGTCGGTGAACGCGACTGTTGCTTCGGACGATGGGAAGAATGCTAGCGAGAGAAAGTCCTCTTAAATCGTTTCGAAAATTCGACTCTCGTCGAATAGATTTGTTGGTAATTTACGGTAATTTATATATAAGGGACGAGCTTTCCTCCTCTTTTGCATTACCAAGTTATGGTTCACCAAGTGCCGCGTAGAAGTTATCGATTAAAGTCATTAAGCTAAAGACTATTTTTAATAACGAGATATTTAAATTTTATAGAATATATGAAGATTATAGTTGCAAACGTTGACGTTCCATTGATAGATTACAGTCCACAGGTGGACTTGAATATCTTCCTTCGGGTCGTAATGGTTATCACTGATTATCGATCCGTCAATAATATCTATACATTTCGTTTTAGAGTATGCCAAAATCACACGATTGTGAGCAAGTCACGATTTCACTAGGAAATGAAAATAGTGTTCGTTTTTTTTTTTTTTTTTTTTGACAAATACGAAGGTGATACAATAATTATTCGTAAGATTTATTAGATAAACAATACAGTTCTTACAATTTAACAATATAATCCTCTCGCTTGTATAACATTATTAGCTTGAAAAGGATGTACTTTTTTATTAAAAAGCAAGTCGCGCGTGTGTTTAATTTTTTGCAGCCAGCTTTAAACTTATCAATTCATACACACCACGTTCATGCTGCATTAAAAATCTTCCTTGATACTTGCAACTAGAAAAATAACAGCACGTTGCTTTTCTTCTTCGATTAAAACGCGATCGCCGAAGTGATTGAGGCATTGTTAAATTATATTTACATTAGGCAATCACAATAATAAAATAATCAGATCGTTCAGTTGAAAATAGAAACAAATAGGTTGTTTGTCTTGAAACTAAAGGACTTAAACAGAACAACGCTATTTCTGTTCCATTTTATTACATGATGATGTCTGTTTAAAATTAACTTTGTACACTCGAGCTTCTTTTCTTAAATTTATTGTTATGCATATATTATTACGTAAAATGTTGTAAGCATTTTTTTAATGCTGCAACCAAGGTAAGAAATGATAATTATCGAATCACTTTCGTATACCGGTGGTTCACTCGAGAAATTTTCGTTCCTTGGCAAAGCAATGATCACGCAACGCAGACGTCATCGGCGAGTCCCTTTCTCTCTTTTCACGTTCGTAAAAGCAGATCCTACCTTTTACGAGTTTAATTGCGACACAAGGCGAAGATACGAAAGTCCTCGAGTGTTCTTCCGTCCCGTTCCCGAACAGTCGACCATTCTATGCCCTTTTCACTCGAAAAACGCTTCAGAAGATGGAGAGGTTTCACGTGAACGAAAGCAAGTAAAAGTATCGAAGCGATCCTTTTTTGGGGTCGACGAGCAATCGTGTCATGGCCATTCCCGTGAACCATTCGTCTCATGGTGCGTTTAGACCAAACGAACAGATGCACGTTCATTCCCCTGTTTGGATGGGACTCGAGTTTGAAACGAGCTAAGTCACTCATCGGATCGCTCACGCGAATTCCTATTTTTTTCGAGTGTAATTGAAAAAAAAAAAAAAAAAA